AAAAAATAGAATTACTGGTTGGTTTCCATACTCTCATAATTTTTTTCATCCTTGTTCGATGACTGCTTGATGCTCGGTTGATTTGTTTGAACAATTTGAATCGGTCTTTCTCCAGCACTTTTTTCAGGAATCTACATTCATAAAAATATATTAGTTTCATTTCCATGTCAAATATTAAATTTATCAAAAATATCATTAACAATCTTTTAATACCTTTTTCGGAGCTCCGACACTCAACACACCATCTGAAGATAATGTAGACGTAATAGAATTTGAATCAACATTATCTGGTACCTTGTAACGCCTAGTAAACTGACGTGAAATGTAACCATGTTCATCACTGCGTTCCTCGTGTTTTCCTTCTACCACTACATAGCCATCAACAACTTTAACAGACACTTCTTCTGGCTTGAACTGCTGGACATCCAAATTCACCTTGAAATTGTTTTTGTCATTTTGGATGCAAGATAAACCACTCTGTGCAGCAGAACTTAAGCGATGTGGTCTTAGATAAGACTTCAACAAAACTGGAAAATGGCTACGACCGTGATAACGTGGTCCTAGGAGTAAATCATCATCTAGTAAACCGAGACCAAAGTTTTGATCGTACATGGTTGGCCGAGATAATTCATCCAATAAGTAAGGTAAAATAGACATCTAGATATTAAAATAAAATGTTACAATACTGTGGAAATAAGTTTAATACTACGTGTTAAAATACTTACCTTAGATTGTTGTCAATGGAAAATATGAGAACACAGGAAATACGTTAACTTAATTCGCTAAGATATATGCAATATATGTTTGGTGAAAATTTAAACAGACACTACGAAATTGTGCGCATACACTCAATTGTGATAACACTGTATCGGACGGTGACGAGCACAGCGCTTTTATTAGGCGTAGAAAATTCGAGAACGCCAAGGGGTTCGAAACATAGACAATTCTAGAATTTTCTCGATACACATTTCCTTTTAAACCATATATTTTACGTACAAAATGCATACAAATGTTTAATGATATCATTTTTTTTTTTATTTATTTATTTAATTGTGTCAATACACCAAGTATTTTTACAATTTCATTTAAGTTTAAAATGTACAATCAACATACAATCATATTTACAAATTGTTGGTGAGCTTATAAGTCTAGATCCGTGTCTGAATCTGAGGTGTAATCTTTGGGTTCAAATAGAATATATTAAAATATAAATAATAAATATATATATATATATATATATTCAAGTAGTATATAATAGAATATTAATATAAATTTATCATAACATATTTAATAACATCGAATTTATAGTCCATTGAAATAAAATACGCAGATCCTAACACCTGAATATTCTGAACTAACTAGGAATATAGCCTATATTTTAGGGAAGACTAAACGGATTAGCTATGTTATCTATAAATTCGAAAGATATAATTACATCAACAGAGGTAACTGAAGAACTGGCGAAAAAGAAAACACGTTTACCTTTTTCAATTTAAAATTTGAAATGAAGAAAAGTGAAACTAAAAGATGACATTGTAATTAATTATTTTATTTAACAAATCATTTTGTGCCATTTTTTCAGTTAAAAAATAATATTGTTTGTATTCATTCTATCTCTTTATTCCTTGTTTCAAAGTAAGAGGAAAAAAAGCTTTATCATATGACTTTTATAAATTTTAAACCCCCCCAAGAAATTATTAAAAATACACTAGTGAATATAGGCATTCAAACGTACAAAGGTCTATTACGATAAAGATTGTTATTTAATTTTTTGGAACGTAATGAATTTTGATTTGTTCGTTGAAATCCAACGAAAAAAATTTAGAAATTAAAAGTTAATTAAAACTAAATTATTATTAGCTATTAGAACTTTGTTACATTACTGGACACCCTAATTTATTTATTTTTTTTTCTAAAGACCTACTACTTTGACGTTTTGATAATGATGATGGAAAACAAATCAGCTGAAATTATTAGTTTTTGAATTATACATTTTTGAAAATTACAAATTTTCAATGATATCCTGTAAACACGCTAAATGTTTCGGTCGGACTAGACCCAGCATCGACTGAATTAACGTTATGTCGAATACGGACGAAAAAAATATAAGTATGAAATTAAATTATACCCGTCAAATTACACCATCAAATTCGGTCGTACACGTCCGTGTCACGGTCGATGCCGAATGAAAACAAAATATTTTGATTTTTCCAGCCGAATCTACAGAATAATTTAAATAAACCAACTATGTACTTATTATATTATTTATACCAACACACCTATATTATTATTACCAACATAAAAACGGTAATAAACAAACTAAAATAACGTTTGTAATTTATTACCTAATTTAAGATTTATTTTAAAATGTTGTTTTCGTTTGTACTTAGATGCAAAATGTAATTCATTCGGTATTCATCAATTGAGCAAATTTTTGGATATTACCTGTATAATATATATATTTATTGCGCCGTTATAAAAAAGGTATACTAAAAAGGTCAAAATACTTAAATTACGCTGGAGAATTTTTAACCACCCAACTAAAAAGACGTTTAGGCAAGTTCTTTAAAAGAAAATTTATAATTTTGGTAAATAATAATTTCTTCACCACGTTCACTTAAAACAATTTCCATTATAAATTTAAGCACGAGCCACGACGACTATACGTACAACGCGTGGACATAGTTGCAACTAGAGCCCAAATATTGGGGATGCTGAATTTACGTAGCTCATACTAACCCCAAGTAACATATGTGTCTCAATGTAATCATTAAATGTACCATAACCACATACATACACTAATATTTTAATTTACAAATATTAACAAGCATAAATTGTAATATACCTATTTATTTCATTATATTTTATTTAGGTCATACAATACTAAGAAATACACAAATTAAAAAAATATTATACAATATACAGCATATAATATCTACACTAGTATTATCTTGCAATGACTAGTGGAATATTTTTTAAGTATTTCTGACAATGTAATTAACTAATAGTCATGAACAATTCATCTTTCTGGTGAAAAAAAAAAAAAAGTAAAACATCAAATAAAACTAAATTAAACTACATGAAATAAAAAAAAAAACGCTATTTTTTCACACAATTTTTCATACTAATTTTTTAACTAGGTGTGCTAAATTAGAGCTTGGGGGTACTATAGCACCCCCTAATTGTGCCTATGCACGTGAAATTTTACTGAACAATACTAAGAATTTATTTTACAAATATATAATATTTGTCGACATTTTGTTCTATCTTCAAAATTATTTAATAATAAAATAATATGATTTATTATTATTACGTATTTATACATTACAACACATGGTCAACTTTTAACTACCTACTATAACTTTGGAACCAAGTCTGACCATCAAATTCTGATTTCAACACCGTTAATATTGAGGTTTACATTACCTTACTCAGTATACAATGTAAATAATTAGTACAGAATAGCAATTTACACATACTTTTAATTGAGAATTTAACTAAAAGAAAACTTTTTTTTACTATTTAATTAGTGTAAATAGAAAATTCATAAACTACTTAATTGTTCCTCAAAAATATTTCCATTAATTAATAAATGAACTTCAACCCAAAAATAAAAACACACCAATTTTATTATAAATGTTAAATTTATTTTAAGTCTTACTTACAATGTTTTCATAAAAAGAAACAAAATTCGATATTTTTGAAGAATTATAAATAACATTCTTATTCTAGAAATTGTATATACAATAAATATTATTGGACTCTTAAAAATACAGCGATATTGATTAACTTTAACATTGCCGTCAATACAAGTATAGTAATATTAAATTAATTTATTTTAACATTGAACCCTTTAATTACATTACAAGAAAAAATAGAATTACTGGTTGGTTTCCATACTCTCATAATTTTTTTCATCCTTGTTCGATGACTGCTTGATGCTCGGTTGATTTGTTTGAACAATTTGAATCGGTCTTTCTCCAGCACTTTTTTCAGGAATCTACATTCATAAAAATATATTAGTTTCATTTCCATGTCAAATATTAAATTTATCAAAAATATCATTAACAATCTTTTAATACCTTTTTCGGAGCTCCGACACTCAACACACCATCTGAAGATAATGTAGACGTAATAGAATTTGAATCAACATTATCTGGTACCTTGTAACGCCTAGTAAACTGACGTGAAATGTAACCATGTTCATCACTGCGTTCCTCGTGTTTTCCTTCTACCACTACATAGCCATCAACAACTTTAACAGACACTTCTTCTGGCTTGAACTGCTGGACATCCAAATTCACCTTGAAATTGTTTTTGTCATTTTGGATGCAAGATAAACCACTCTGTGCAGCAGAACTTAAGCGATGTGGTCTTAGATAAGACTTCAACAAAACTGGAAAATGGCTACGACCGTGATAACGTGGTCCTAGGAGTAAATCATCATCTAGTAAACCGAGACCAAAGTTTTGATCGTACATGGTTGGCCGAGATAATTCATCCAATAA